AAGGGAAAGGGAAAGGGAAAGGGAAAGGGAAAGGGAAAGGGAAAGGGAAAGGGAAAGGGAAAGGGAAAGGGAAAGGGAAAGGGAAAGGGAAAGGAAAGGGAAAGGGAAAGGAAAGGGAAAGGGAAAGGGAAAGGAAAGGGAAAGGAAAGGGAAAGGAAAGGGAAAGGAAAGGGAAAGGAAAGGGAAAAGAAAAAGGAAAAGAAAAGGGAAAAAAGGGGGGAAAAGGCTCTCACCCAGCCTTGGCTCCCTCACATCCCTCCCAAGCTCAAGGAAAAGGTAGTTAATGAACTCAGTCCTTCAGCTCTCCTCCCTGCTGGCTTCATGCCTTCTGCCTGCACCTCTGCTCACCCCTTCCCTCCCATGCATTTCTCTTCTCTCCACCCCTTCCTTACAACACTTTTCCTTTGCTTTCCTGTATATTCCATATTTACACTTTCATTCATTGCTCTCTCCCCTGCCAGCCACTCTCAGCTTTTTAATTTCTTGCAATTTTGTCTTCTCCCTAGTCAGGGCTCTTAGTTTGCTCTTGGAACAGAGCAGTGAGCCCTGTGGGTGCCTAAAGCCTTGATCCATCAAAGAATATTTTATGAACCCACAGAACTAAGCAGATTTCTGGGCAAGCAACTCCCTGGCAGCCTCGGGCTCTGAATGCACAGCTTTATCAGAGCTTTAACCTGGACATCATGTCAAGATGAACTTTTGGAAGCCAGCTATTAGCACGTGCCTAGCAATACTGCATCTTCATAATCCCTTTGTCATTGCTACCATATTCATGATGAAGAACCTGTAAGGCTGAACTATTCAACCATTCCCTACATAAACATGTTGGTCTTGTTTCTCCAGGTCTTCAAAACGCATTCCTCAGTCTATTAATCATGGGCAGATAATTGTATATATTTCCACCAGAATTCAGCAATCCATAAAACCTTATTAAAAAAGGGAACTGTTTAGTTCAAGGTGCATCAGAATCACAAGAAGATGTCATTATCTCTATTAAACACATATATATATATACACACAGTTTATACTAGACAAAAGAAATTTTTAACATCTTCAACAGATTTAAGTTTACATTATCATAAATTTAACTTGCATCCTATTATTGTTATAAACTTATTTGCATCCTTCTCTGTGTACCACAAAGCAAACAGGATTTACGTTTTACAGAAGAGAAAACTGGCCTGGAGAGCAGCACGTGACTCCTGCCGAAGCCTTCCGATCTTTCACCAACACTCTCCAAGTTCACAGCACTTCAGCCATTCCCAACCTACCAGTCCTCTGACCACATCGTAGTAATTGCATCCCATATCCACTGAGTACAAGTGCCTGCTAATACTGGGAGCAGTGCTGACCCAGAAAGAAAGCTTGGTGAAGGCTGGTCATTAGTTTTCAGTGGTTCTGTCCAGCTACTTTGGAAAATGATGCTGCCTTGCTGTCTACTTCCTTGCTAACTCGTTCCATCTTCTCAGAAGGTCAGAAATGTGACTGGCAATGTAAGAGAATGCCCTAACAAAATTAAGGTGGCATCGAGGAAGACCCGCTGTCTAAGCCCTTTGCCTTGCAAGGAGCATCAGAGCACTGGAAAACCTCGCTCGGCTTCTGCACCTTGGTCACTAATGCTCAGCTCATGACTCTCAGTGTATTATAAAGACAACTGTAATCCCAGGATTCCTTTAATACAAAACCAATATGCTCTTCCTAGGACACTCACCTACCCTGTCCAGCCCATTCAATACCCCCAGCAATCTGCCGCCGTTGCCTGTGCAGCCATGGAGCAGCTTTGTTGTGGCCTCCTATGTTTTCTAACAAATCATCTGCTTTCTCAGCTCCCCCTTACAATTTACATAACATGGCTAAGAGATTTCTAAAACTCTCTCATAACATGGCTAAGAGATTTCTAAAACTCTCTCATAACATGGCTAAGAGATTTCTAAAACTATCTCTGCAATTTCCCTGTACAGGCACTAATATCCTCTGCTTTGCTGACCTCCTATTCCATCACAAGTTTCCATTTCAAGTGAGGCCCATTCATAAACTTTGGGATTGTCCAAATAGGGCCTCCTTTCACTTCTGACATAAATCATCTTCTCCAAGCTGAGAACAAAAACTCTTTAAAATACCTTTTGCTAGGCACAAATGTAAAACATGGGTACATGTTTCTGAGGTGACAAGAGAAATAATGACTGGGTGTCTGAACTGTCCCAACTTAAATCTTACAATGCAGATCTCTAATTTTCCTTAAATTATTTATCAGCTTCAGACCTAGTTTAAATTTCCTTCAGTAACCTCAGTTTTTAGTCCTGTTGCATAATCTTGTCTGCATTCACTGCTTGAGGCTAACATAGCTGTATCACTTGGTTTGTCCTGATTCTCTGCTCTCTTAAAGCACCTTGAAATCCTTGTGGAAACACAGGTACTGTGTTTGTTACACTTGCTGTTTAGAAACTATACCTAACCAAGAACTATGCTTCATTTCCATAAGCAATATCCTGACTGCTAAATTGTGCATTATCCTGGAATTAGTTCGATTTGTCACCAGCCTAGTGGAGCATCTGTGAGCAATGGTAGGACAGTCTGATGTTTCTGCACTTCACACAGATCCTGGTCATCAAAGCACCTCTCAACTAGTCAACACAGGAGCAAAATGGTGAAGCTCCTGCTCAGATGTGCTGAGCAAACTCAGCAAGAGCTGGTCTGTATTTGCAGAAATGCTCAGAAAACAGTGATGCTGATGTGCAGCTTCAGGCTGCTGCACATCCACGAAGGTGGCAATTCAGGACGTTCAGCACTGGAATGTTCTTTCTCCACCACTGGAGACAACAGCAGTAGCTCCTGCTGTTAGATGCTCACATACAGATTAGCTAGAGAGGAAGGTAAGGCACATGGCCTACAACACACTGGGAAGGGGCACTCACTCACAGCAAAGTTCTAGTAGTTGCAAAATCAGTTCAAAGTTCGCCATTTGCGTTAAGTCTGCAGTAAATTTCAGAATATTTAAGGTTGGAAGGGACCTCTACAGATCATCTAGTCCAACCTTCCTGCTCAAGCAGGCACACCTAGAGCATGTGGCACAGGGTGGCATCCAGGCGGGTTTTGAAGACCTCCAGAGAAGGAGACTCCACAACCTCCCTGGGCAGCCTGTTCCACTGCTCTGTCACCCTAACAGTAAAGAAGTTCCTCCTCACCTGGAGACGGAACTTCTTGTGTTTCAGCTTGTGGCCATTACCCCTCGTCCTATCGCTGGCCACCAGTGAGAACAGCCTGTCCCCTTCCTCCCTGCATTCTCCCTTCCTGAACTTATACATATTAATCATATCCCCTCTGAGCCGTCTCTTCTCCAGAGAAAACAGGCCCAGCTCACTCAGCCTCTCTTCATACGAGAGATGTTCCATTCCCTTAATCAACCTGGTTGCCCTTCTCTGGACCCTCTCCAGAAGCTCCACGTCCCTCCTATACTGGGGAGCCCAGAACTGAACACAGTACTCCAGGTGCGGCCTCACCAGAGCTGAGGGGCAGAATCACCTCCCTTGACCTGCTGGCAACACTCCTCCTGATGCAGGCCAGGATGCCATTGGCCTTCTTGGCCACGAGGGCACACTGCTCACTCATGGTTAACTTAGTGTCAACCAGGACTCCCAGGTCCCTCTCCATGGAGGTGCTTTCCAGCAGGTCGAGCCCTAATCTGTACTGATGCCTGGGGTTATTCCTCCCCAGGTGCAGGACCCTGCACTTGTCCTTATTGAACCTCATGAGGTTCCTCTCTGCCCAACTCTCCAGCCTGTCCAGGTCCCTCTGGATGGCAGCACAGCCCTCCGGAGTGTCGGCCACTCCACCCAGCTTGGTGTCATCCGCAAACTTGCTCAGGGTGCATTCCGTGCCCTCGTCCAGGTCATTGATAAACAAGTTGAACAGCACTGGGCCCAGCACTGACCCCTGGGGGACACCACTGGCCACAGGCCTCCAGCTGGACTCGGCCCCATTTATGACCACCCTCTGAGCTCTGCCATCCAGCCAGCCCTCGATCCACCGCACCGTGTACTCGTCTAGCCCACTGTCCCGGAGCTTCCGTATGAGGATGTTGTGGGAGACAGTGTCAAAAGCCTTGCTGAAGTCAAGGTAGACAACATCCACGGCTCTCCCCTCATCCAGCCAGCCTGTCACCCCATCATAGAAGGCTATGAGGTTCGTCAGACATGACTTCCCCTTGGTGAATCCATGCTGACTGCTCCTCAGCAGCTTCTTCTCCGCCATGTGCCCGGAGATTCTCTCTAGGATGAACCGCTCCATCACCTTTCCAGGGACAGAGGTGAGGCTGACCGGCCTGTAATTGCCCGGCTCCTCCCTCTTGCCCTTTTTGAAGACTGGAGTGACGTTGGCTTTCTTCCAACTGAAGATGCTGAATATAAGATCCCCACAGCACAAAAATCACTACTCTCTGCTTTCTAAGCTGCACTGTAGAGCTAAAGGCTTCTAGTGAGCAAAGCCTTTTTACTCCACATGTACCAATCAGAAAAGGGATAGAAAGAAAAGAAATGTTTAATTTAATTATGGTCCTTTCAGAGGTGCTGCTACTTAAGTGAGGCTACTTATTTAAGTGTTGCAAGCTTCTCCCCACTCCCCGACCCTTCCACTTCTCATCTGGTGACTAAGGTACAGATCTGACTGATAGGGGTGTCACTTTGTAGCTGGGAAACTTCCTTAGTCCAATTCTAAATACAATTGCACAAGAGAGGGTGCAAGAGGAGACAGAAACAAGCATCAAGAGTTGGGCAGCAGCAGCTTAAGCCAACACAGCCTCTGAGAATTAACAAATTTATCAGGCAATGTCATTAGTCAGGATGTCACGTGTATCTTGATGTTGTAATCTTTGCAGAAACAAAAGCATTCCATGCAGCTCCAACAGCAGCACTGTATTTTTGCTTTAAGCACATGTGCTTATATATTAGTAAAGAGAACCTGTTCTAACACTGTGCTCTTCCCTGAAATCAAATGTAACCTCTACTTTATCAGCTGGTTCATGAAAGCAGCATGATACCAGCTGGAGGGGTTGGAATACCTATTCACTCCTGAGAGCTGAAACGATTTGCAGGGGAAAAAATAAATAAAAAATATACTATGATAGCAGTACAAGCATAAAATTTGGGAATGACAAAAAGTTTGGGCTGCCTGGAGAAGGAAAAAAAAAGTCACATAGACAGCTTGTGAAACCTTTAATGACTTGGCCAGCATCCTACATGTTTACTGGTTCACAGCTTGTTTAACTCCTTGTATATTCCCAACCATTCCCATAAGTCCGATACACCTCATCTACTATACGGTCATTTAATAGCACCACAAATGGGTTTACCAACCAATTAAAAGCAGAGAATTGCTTAGATATTTACTCCAACTTGCACAAAACTAATGGTTTATATTTAAACTCATCAACTTTAATGTATCTGACAAATCTCTGCTCCAGCCTGCCAAGACCAACAATTACTCTGTCAAGCAGGAAAGGCTTTCCACTTCACTAATGAAGGCAGAAGCGCCACAGGAAAATCAAAGACACCAGAGTATATGACTTTTTTTTCCTTTTTAAATTGGTTCAGAATTAAACCCTCCATTTTAACCTTGAAATAAATAACATATTGCAGTATCATACTAAATCTTATCCAGCACAAAATATGCTCACTGATGTATTTCTGAGAATAAATCAATGGAGCGCAGGCAGAATTCACACCTATTTAGGTTACTTCAAAAAGTCAATGGCTTGGAAAAATGCAAGAGAAGAAAAAATGCAAGACAGAAGAAAAAAAATCGTTGTATATAACAACAATAACTTTTATACTTGTAATAAACTGCAATAAACACCTATGGGTTAGGTTATTGCTTTGTGTTAGCAGAGAGAATAGATCTTGTACAAGTATTCTCTGTTTTATCAACAGGTTAGGAGGAGCCCAGGTAATAGTGATGTTACAGTGATGTTGCTCTTTAAATCTGATCATACATTTTCAGTAATCAACTAGCAGGTGTATGGTATTAATGCAAAAAAAATGCTTAACACTTCCCAAAAAAATGTCAGCTTATAAATGTCCCTCTTATCTGATATACTAGAACAGAAATCTTCAAGCATATAGATACCTAGAGGATTTAAGAGCTCAAGCCTTCTTAGCTATTAGCACTCTTAAGTGACTTGCTCCTAAAGTCTGTGTGCTTAAAAGATTCCAAACTTTTTAATATGTTTTTTTAAAAAGCCTATATTCACACAGTTCACTGAATTTTGCTCTACACTAGTCACTAGTGGGTTACATCTTTCTTTCTCGTTCTTGACATTTTTTTGCTTCATTCAATCATTCATCATTCCTTTGTTGTTTAAAAAAAGAACAATGAAATTCACATGATGTACGGAACAGTATCCCACTGAAACTGAGGATATTTTCCATTTCTAATAATGTCACAGTGTAAACCACAGCACAGTATAAAGCACAGTCAGAAGTGGGCCTACTCATTTTCAGTTTTGACAGAAGAACAATAGCAATGCAAACAGAATCTGGACACATTCCAAACTGTTCAACCTAAATTAAACCTTTCCTCACAAAAGCATGAGTGGGGCATTCAACTTTGACTGCACTTGCATTGTTGATTTTGTAAGTTAGGTTCATTAAGGTTGGTCACATAACAGATACCTGTTTTCCCCTCCACAAACAAAGATTTCACAGGAAGACTAATCTAGCACGTCTACATCACACACGTCACAGTAAGCCTAGATTTTTCTTTTCCAGCTTTTCAAATTCTTACTTGTGCTGTTGTTTCAGATGCACAGTTGTCTCCAGCCTATGTTTCTTGCTGACCTACCTAGGCTCCTTCTGACTGCAAGATCTAAGCAGCAAGAGTCACAGACCTATGGAGCGTGTGCCTCCAAGCAGCAAGCTCCACATCTCTGGTCTCAACACGTCCTTCCGCATCCCTTCCCTCCTTTCCCCTGCTCCCACCCATCCCACGACTACTTGAAAGTGGAGCATATCCAGCCCCTCAGACCTCTATTTCTCCTACAAGTGCCAGCCACACACAGCTCTGCTCATCCTCCTCCAGTACAACCAAGAGCAACCGGGTAGCAGATGAAAGAGGGGAGAGATGGGATGAAGTAGCTGCCAAGGGAAGGAGAGGGGGATGTAGCCAGTGAGAGGAGTAGCAATAGCTACAACCTGCTAGAGTTTTAGAGAGTAAATAGCATACAGTAATGAGTTTGCTTAGGAGAAATCCTGGGAGGATCAATCCTAGAAAGGTGAAAGAGAAGCCTTTAAATTTCAGTGCCAAAATTTCAATAGAAAGAGCACAAATGCTTTATCTTCAACATCCAGGGACTCTTCAAAGAGTGTGCAGCTCTACCAGGTTATTGCTGCTCCCTATTCAATCAGGAACACTTAAGGTTCAGTCTTATTGAGCTGCTGCCAGAGAGAAGCATGGCTGCCATTTTTTAGGATAAAAAAGCCATATTTTTAGTATAAATAAGCATTGTTTTTTGATCATTTATATCCCTAGACATTAAGTCGCATTCTGTTTCACATTTGCAAAAACACCGATCATTTCCAGTGTTAAAAGGGTGACTTTAAAATACTCTTTAGATTTGTTCAGATTTTATCTTTGGCATTACACGATGACTACTTCTGAAGATTTTTTTTGTGATGTGATATTTAGTACTTTAATCCACTGCAGTGCACAGCAATTCATTACTGCCTAGCAGGCTTTTCAAAAATTCTCTCGTGAACTTTTAACTATTAGCAGCAAAACGGGCAAACAGAATTGAGAAAGTAGCAGAGAAAACAAGCTCCCTGACCTAAGCATCCCTGCAATAAGAAATAATGGGAAGTTTCCAAAACAAAATGCAACAGAACTGTTACGCTCATGGATTACTCACCCATAAGCTCCATTACTAATCAGCTTAATTGTTTCAAAATCGCTTTCCCGAGGTTTTCTCCGCAGCTTCAGTGAGGTATTAGAGCTCTGCAAAGTAACAGAGGAGAAGGAGCAAAGTTAATACCGTGTATTTTTCCAAAAGGAGGGAACAAACACAAATCAAACAGGCCTGGGCTGCCCACCCCAGCAAACCCCCTAGCTGCACTGGCAGCAGAGTGGTACAGAAAGGGAGCCGGGACCCCGCAGCTGTCTGCCCTACACAGGGCCTGCAGCAGAGTGGCCTGGGGCCAGAATGGCAAGGAAGCAGCAGCAGCAGCTCCCTATCTGGAGGGACGCACCCCTGCGAGCCCCGCTGAGAGCTCGCTGCCTCTTGCCCTCCTGTCTTGGTCAACCTGATTCTGGCGGTAGCATCTGGTGTAGATGAGCGCCTGTTTGCACAGGCCTGTACCTACTTCTGGTTAGTGCGCTCTGAAATGGCTTAGGATGCAGACACACACACACAAAATGAAAAATATGCAGTAATGAGAACCACTACTGAGCTCAGAGTTATCGTAGCTACTGCACCACCTTTTCTCTCCATTTTTAATTTATCTTATTAGATAAGATTTCTCGTAAATTAGAAATACGAGGAGAGAGAAGGAAGGTTTCCAAAACAATTCCACATTCCAAACCCACAAGATCTTTTTCAGGATGTTTTCCAAATTTCTGAAAGTTTTTTGATCTCTATCTAAGCAGTTGAGCTCAAATTAGATCTGGTTGGAACATTTTCAATGAAATACTTTTTGAAGAAACACTTCAATGCAAGAAGATGTAAATAGAATGAACTACGAAAGAGCGGAAAAAGATCATTTAAACTGTTTAGACCCTTTGCACAACAGTACTGAATTCTTCCTAATTTCACATTTATTATTTTAAATGATCCTCTGCGTCATTTTTCTGAATAATATTACCAGCCTCTTCCTATTTATTCCATTTATTCCATAAATGGATTGTTTACTGCACAAAAACACTTTCAGAAAATGTTTCTAAATATCCATTCTGTGTTTTTCTTTCCCAATTTCACTTCATCACTCCTGCATTACTTGCACTGCATTATCATTCCTTTATTTAACTTTGATATTTGTGTTTGCACAGCTTCTTGGCCATTGCTGAGCTGATCTGTACATACTCTCTCTCCAGTCTGCACTTTTAGATTCTCCTTGTACTTACAACATTTCCCTTAAATATTTCTGTTATTACTTACTTCTTTGCAACTTGTCAGTATTCTTCCACAATGCTACGGACAGGTCTAAAATGGTCCTTTTAACCATTGTGAAAATGAACCAGAGCAATAAAGGAACCACCATAGCTCTGGAAGCCTTTAAAGGTAGCATTTTGCCCTAAAAATCAGAAATTATCTCAAGGTGACAAGACATCTAGCAGAGAATGATATCTTCTCTGTAGCATACCAGAAGGAGCCTACCAGATATCTCGTGGCAGTATGTTAAACTGCACAGGCCAGTTAAGTACCACTGAGCTTCCTATACACGGGTTCCTTCTTTCTATCAAATTGCAATGAAAATCTACACTCAAATCTACACTCAAGTGCTGTTGCAGGTTTATTCTCTTGACTAACTTCCAAGGTATAAGAGCAGGGTTTGGGGTTTTTTTTTTTGTTTGTTTTGTTTTTACATCATAAAATTCAAATCCTGCAAAATAATTAACCCGCTCAAGTCCACCAACCTGTTTTCCCTTGGTCTCCCTCAACAAGCACCTGACATAATAACAGAGACCCATTATTATGCTAAAATATTGTCAGACAGATTCAGATGGACCATGGACAATTTTTCTCATGACAAACTGTCTGTCTTGATCAAGACTACTCATTAACTAGCTCACTTTCTCCTTCTCCCCTCGACATGGACTGGCTCTCTTAACAACTTGATAACTACCTGCCTCTGTGAAAAATCTGTCTGAAATGCTGCGTTTTTAGGAAAGGATTTGCAACTCCTTCACCAAAGGCAAGTAAATAACATTAAACAGAAATAAAAGAAGCAGCAGCAAAACAGAAACAAGCTCAGCATCATAAGCACACAATAACTTTACAGACACTACAGATACTGCTACATCTAGAAAAGCAGGCAGAAATTTCTTTGTTGCTAGCTTTCTACTTGCCGTGCACCCTGGTGCTAGTTTGAGCACTGCTCTGTTCTTAACATTTACAGGCAGAACATTCAGGTGGGGGCAATGAAGAACATGTTATGTGTTCTTCCATTACATATCCTTTATTTTTCTCTACTCAGCTTCAACGAAAGCAGAACTGTAACAGGAAAACTTACACTCATGGATTCATCCATTTCTGGAGTCTCTGCTGTTCCATTGTCATAGTTAGCTAGCTGAGCTATTTCTAAAAAGAAAAAGATTAAAAATTTCACTGTAAAATATGTTAATTACAAAACTGAATTAAGCAGAAAACCCAAATCTGACAAGGGTCCTCTTCTAGACCGGTTAATAAACATGCTGTCCTAGCTATAGCACTTGCTACATAACTTTTGAAGTGTCTTGCAAAACTAACAGGACAAATCTCATGGCATAAACAAAGAATTCCCCACCTATGAAACCTTCCATCAAATAATTCAAACAGCTATATAGCAACAAAGAGCAATATTGATGTGGCTGCTGAAATAAAGCAATTTTAAGTGATCTGTATGATATAAACATTAGGGGATTGACAGCACTAATTTGCTACGACTTCACAGTCACTAAAGCTTTGCTAAAGTTTCACAGTTACAGTTAATATGCTTAAAAAAGTTAAAAAGTAAGAACTTGTTGTTATCCTATCCACTCTTAGCCTCCGCTGCAGAGTTGCTCAGTCCATTCTGCTCTCAAGGGGCCCAATAACATAAGGATTCCTTGGCACAGTAAGAGCTAAATGGGACAGCTGCTAGCTAAAACACTCTTGGAAGCTGAGTATCACTTTAATTATGTACACAGTTAATTACATACTCTGCAGAGCCAAAGATACCCATCAATTCTCAATTATGTCCTGGGGATCGGAGACAGGACTGCCTGAAATTGGTAAGGTGCATTTTTATTGCTAGCACTGCTAACTGAATTTGGGAATTTCAAAATAATTGAGTTCACAGAACTCACTATACTCATGAACAACAGATTAGCCACACAGGTAATTGTGTTGGAATAGTCAAAATAGTATAAAATAACTCACATACGTGATCATTACACAAAATACAAAGTTTGCAGTGTGTAAGAATCTGAAGGACCCAAAATGTTTCTTTGAAAAACAAAACAAATATGGTTTAAAAGTTATAACAGGTAAAATATTGAAAAAAATCTGAATATAAAGTAATTAAATAGTGAAAAATGTCTCAAACAAAAATAAACAAATAAAAGAGAACCCAAGCAAAAACTATGCAGGCCAAGTTTTGAGTTGCAGTGAATTTTACTGTCATATCACAGTTCTGTAAACAAAGAGCTTTTAAAATAGAAGTGTTGATGAGACCTTTATTTTATGGGTGAGAACCAAGCAAGTCAGAATAATACACTTTGACAGCCTTCACAACTGAAATTACTTTCATAAATAGCGAATTAAAATGAGCCATTTTTAAAGAGAACCTCTGCAAAATAATCACTATCTGAAAAATACTCATTACGTGCAAGCGGTAGGTAGCAATGGAATGGAACCACGAGTCAGCTTTTGAAACGCGGAGCCGAGGAAGCACTTTGTAATGCCTGAAGAGATTTTCAAAACTCATCTAAATAACATTAAACATCTGCCCCGTTTTCTCTCATTGATCTAAACCACTTCTGAAGACTCTTGATTCCAAAAGGTAAAGATGGTCATTTAAAACCTGTGGGGAAAAATTCCTCCCCAGGAGCTTGGAGAAAGGCAGCCACCAGTCCCGGCTAGGTGATGAATGTGCTATGGTGTCACTATCGGTGTGGTATAAATGTATCTGGCATGATCTCCAAGCTCCACACGCACCATTTCCCTCGGAAAGGACAGGGCAGCCCAGGCAGGAAACCAAGGAGGAGGGCAGAGAAGGGTCTGGAGCAGGAAGGGGGTTCTCTGCAGGGAAAAGCAAGAGCCCCAACACCAACATTTACAACAACTGCGGGTGTAATTCAGCAGCCTGCTTGGAAGTCCATTTCAGTGCTTTAGGACATCCACAGCTTTGGAGACTTTTTCTTTTTTTCTGGTTAAATCTTACTTTTTTTTTTTTTTTTTTTTTTTTTTTTTTTTTTTTTTTTTTTTTTTTTTTTTTTTTTATTAGTCTCCATACAAAGAACTTAAAGATCTCTTGCAAAAATCATCTCCATGTATTTAAATACAGATATTTTTAAAAATACAATCGATTTTGGTGTTTTCAAATATTTCACTTTCTGGATGATTAATTTGAGGGCATAAACTAATAACACCATTCTTATTTCTGCATATGTAATGTCCTTTCACACAGAGCTGTCAATCTAAAAGCAGAAAGGACCACTGCAGAAAAAAACATAGTGATTTATACTGTTGTGAACGCCATTTTTTTGTGGGGAGGCAGGAAAATACTAATATGAATTATATGACCTGAATGATTTCAATACAAATCCACATATACATCAACCTTTAAAATGATACACAAAATGTAATTGCTCCAAACCTCAAGTGAGCTAGAAGTCAGCTATCTGTTACTGGGGTTACATTATGCCCCTCTGAAAATAACACATAGGCTGTTCTTCTCACAGGAAAAATATTTCAATTATCCTGGGATGTTTTAAAGTTAAAGTAATATTTATCAATATTTAATTTATGAAATGCATTTATAAGATGTGCTCTAGACAAAATAGATATATAAAGTAAATATTGTTTCGGTGAACAGTATCATTTATTATTTATATGCAATATTTGTACCCAGACCTCATCCACAATAAGCTATTTAAAAAGATTCAGAGAGGACAGATTCTTTACTCATGCTGAGGAGCCCTTTTATCCAAGTGATCATAAACATTTTAATCAGTAAGATACAGTTCTAGCAGTAGAATCAGGGTCAATAACACTAACCCCTCAACCCACACTCCAAATTATGTCTTGCATATTTGATCAGGGAAACTTATGGACTGTGCTTCTAGACAGACAAACAGCTCTTCAAATCCTGCAGACACCGCTTTATCTTGCAGAGAATTAATTCTTTATCCTTCCCATTAACATTAAAAAATATAAATATATATAAATTGTTTTCTAAATTTGTCCTGCCTTCTTGCTGTGTTCTGAATCAAAGCAGAAAGTCCTACTACTACTCTAATGCGTTTTTCATACTAAAAACATACAATTTTGACTGAGGGCATTCTGTTGAAGAGACAGGAAAAGGACTAATAGAACTGCATTTTTCTTTTAGGTCTTTTAACATAACATTAGCACAAGTCTATAGCAAAAGGCAGTGTAACTGAATTAGACCTACCTAAATTCCTGTTAGTACTAACTACATATACTGCCCAAGTTGAACAGAAATGCCTTTTAACACTGAGGAGAGCACTGAAGGGCTAAGAAAGGTTCCTCTCCTTTTCTTTTATACTATACTATATATACTATACTATACTATGCTTGGATAACACAGTGACCATTGAAATCTCAGCCATACCCAAAACGCAGAAGTTACCTCTTCTGGTTTCCGCAGCACTGCAATAATGCATTTATGAAGGATCCTCACACCTGAAATTGAGGCAGCCTCTCTAACTCCTCTGAGCTTGTGAACAGACTGTGAAGGTTACTGAATGACTTGTTCTACTACAGGCTTTTCTTTCACTTTTTGAGATACATAGTAGCAGAAGGATCAAACTCACTGAGAGCATCTGGGAGTTGACAGCTGCATCAGGAAGAGCACTTACCTTCCAGCGGATCTTTATTTAAGCCCAGCTGGCTAATAATGTATCGAGGAATGTCTGTTTTAATACCTTGCCCCTCTTTAGCATGGCCTTCAGCTGCTTCCAGAAGATAGTAAAACTCCTCAGGATCAAATTCCTAGAAGGAAATCAATCAATCAATCAATCCCCATCAGTCTTCGTGCGGAAGCTGAAGCCTTAAAATCCAATATAAAACTTTTCTTTGCTACTTCTATGGTAAATATTTGATATTTCCCTCCCAGAAAACCACCATATTATTCTCTTGCTAACAACTTAGTATTCCTTTCACAATTGCTATACAAGGTTAACATGCTGTAAGCAATGCAATTTCTAACTGTTCTCACAGAGCACTATTTTAGAGGTGTAGGAAGCTCTCTGCCCTCCAAACTTGCCATTATATTCAGAATGAAACGACCTATAACTAACAGTGCAACAATCAATGATAAGATTTCACATACTGAATACTGCTCCCTGCTGCTACTTACATATAAAAATCTCTTATTGAAATAAACCGTGCAATTATATTGCTCTCTGATTTTACTTCAAAGAAATGTTTTGAAATTTTAAAAATCAATATATATGTACTGTGTTTTATGGGAAATACAATTAAATGAATTTTTAGTTTTAGAACCAAACTGAAAATACTAAGCTGTTGAAAACAGTTATTTGAATTCCACTGATTCAGTATTTCCAAATCAGGAAATGAGACATTCACCTTCAAGGACCTTTGCCTAAAATGCAAGCCTTACAGAGTCTCTCCCAAAGAAAGGGGGAAAAAAAGCAAAACTAACAAACAAAACCCCCACACCTTCAAACCTAAAACCTTGCCTCTCAAGTCTTCTGCAGTTTACTACCTTAACATACAATAAAAATGGAAATAATTGAAATAAACTAGGGAAAGAGACTTTTTTATTATTATTTTAAAATAAACTCTCACTAACGTCCTATCTCCTTGTATTAATTCATAATTAAACCTGAAAAATATAAACTCTTACACAGCCCTGACACTCTTCAAATGTTCCTGTCTACCACAAATCAGAGCAGGGCTACAAACACCTTCTCAGGGGAAGGGGGTTATGAAACACGGGGGCGCTCTGCTGCCACAGGCCGCGCGCCGGCCCCAGTGGCTCTGTCCAAACCTCCCTGCGGAGCCTCTCTGCAGAGCCCGTGCTGGGCCTGCCCGGGGCCTTGGCCGCCGGCCGCATCCCAAGGCTCCCGGCCTGGTCCTCGGGAAACACAACAGCCCACCCCAAAGACACCTTGGGAAATGAGGGATCAAGTTTTCAGCTTGGGAAATGAGGGATCAGCTTTCAGCTTGGAAGCATCCGAACTACCAGGAGAGAATTAACCAAAATGAAGTGCCTTGGAATTTTCAGTCTTGTGAGAACAATCTGGCTTTGGTTTTTTCATTTTCTATGAAACAATCTTCATCTCTAGCTCTATCACAACGGATTTTCATAAATGCATAAAATGCCCAAACACTCCTTATTAGCTTAAAGTCTCAAGAAGTTGCTAAACTGCCTGGAAACCTGACCTGAGTGCTAAACGTTCAAAGCTCTTTTAGCTCTACTTGCCTCATCTGACATGTTGTGGCCTTGCCCAGCCGAACCACTTACACCTACTCGCTGGCACCCAGGAACACTGCAAGGATGTTTGCCAAGACTTCCCTTCTACCTTCATCAAGAAAACATTTTCTTCTCCTTACCTGCATTGGTGCCGGAAATATTTATAAAGCTTCTTCTCCACTTGCTAGTTAAGCCAGACTACTTACAAAACAGATGCTCTGATCATGAGTACACACACACACGCGCGTGCGTCTAGAAGCACAAAATTTACTTCCCACTCTATTTTTACATTTATGTTTCATTCTCACATACATTCAATGCTCCAAATGGAAGAAATCTTTCTAGATTTGTCAGTATTTGGTACAAACGAACAAGCAAAAGCTTCACTCGCATGATTAACAAATGAACACAAACAAGTGCTCACATATCATGCACACTTGAGCTAAGAGCACTAAGCAAACTGAAAGCTCTGCCTTAAGGTATCTGAAGTTCTTGTGATAAAAACACTGAGTTTATTTCTTACAGTGTCATAAACTTGCTTACAGAAGCTAAAGTTATCTTACCTAGTATCTATTTCAGACAAACTTTCTAAAATATAAGTCAATATGATTTAAAAATTTCCAGAGGGATACTACCAAAACCCAACAACAGTGCTTTCAGTGTCCTTAAAAAAAAAAAAAAGATTAAAACTATTCCAGTGACATTTATGGGGTAGGGTTTAGCATTTTCTTGCATTAGAAACGTGGAGATTTTGATGGTTTGCCTAAACTGTTCCAAGCTACCCACCTCTGAAGTAGCATACTCTGTAGAGACTTGTAAAATTGCAGCTAAAATCTCCTGAAGATCTCAACCAAAATAACACTACTCTGAGGGAGGGAGCCGCGCTGGCCTTCTCTGCGACTGCTCTCTGCAAAGCTGAGCAGCTGAATGCAGGAGGCACCAGATGTGGAGAGGGAGCCCAGCTCGTGGCCTGCCCCTCTGGCCAGGTGAGCAGGCCCAGCGAGCGGAGGCAGAGGCCAAGCAGCAGCTCTGTTGGCAGCACGGAAAGACCAAGGAAGGATGCCAGGATCAAACCTCAGCAGAAACTGGGAAGTAAGGGCAGGGAGACTTGGGCCAATCAGCTATAAAATTTAGCATTTTGAGGGAATGAACTATGGACAAGAAGGTCCCTAGGAGAGAACTTGAATTAAATGGTTAAAAGACATTGATGAAGTCAGGGTCAAGACTCAGAGAATAAGCAAGCACTGGAGACGCAGACAGCGTGTCACAGGGAGCATACGTCTAAGCCACAGGGTAGCCACAGGCTAAAACGTTGTCCCCATGTGTGACAATAGGGAAAGGCAAGACAGATCTTATGAGAAATCAGGGAAAAGGCTGAAGAAAAATTATGTGACCCCTGAGAACAGTATGTTTGAGGGAACAGGGCAAAGAAAAAATGTTTGTGGCTTGGATTCAACAGCAAAAGCAGTACATGCTGAAGTTTCTTCTACTCTCGAGGACCCGAAACTCTTTTTTCTTCTCCAATCAGTCACCTGCTGATTAAGAGCATACACCTTATTTTAGATTTCTTCTGAACTTCAAGTCATGAACAAGCTGCAACTGGGAATACTGAGACATGATGTTTCCAAAACAAACCAGAGTCAGCTCTCACCCACAGCTGAGCTATCTAGGTCACGGATTAACTGTGCCACAGTCGAGGAGCCGCCGCAGCCCAGAGCCAACCAGGCTGGAAAGACTCACTAGCTGCAAGGCAGTTAGGCTGCTGCCAGGCACCAGCTGAGCCCAGCAGCAGGTTAGCAGCTCCCACACGAGCAGAAGCCAGGCCAGGCTCCAAGAGCTACGAGCAGCGTCCATACCCCGGACTGGCACCGGCCAGCACGGTGCTCAGCTAAGGCAGCTCGGGCCTCGCGCCAGGCCCGGGGACTCACCAGTACTTACATGGTATGTGAGTGTCTAAACGCTCTCCCGAGCACACCGTGTTCTGTGCGGACTAATTAGTGCCACCAAGCTACTCCTGCACGCCGGCTCGCTGCATGTGAGCAGCTTCTCACACCTCCGCCACGTGGCTAGCGCGGCACGGGGAGGCAAGGCACAAACACTCCTGTGGGATCTCACACGGGCTCACCTGTTTCGGCCACTTCAGTGCTACCCTCACACCTAACTTAGCTCTCCTTTATCATACAGCCCCAGTGTAGCTCAGAGCATCTGTACATCCATGTACTGTAACTCCCCCGCCTGCCCCGCTGCCAGTCAGGTGCTGCCGAGCTCACAGCGAGCTGCTTACAGGCCAGGCAGCAGCTGAGGAGTGAAACAGAACTCAAACTGGTAGGAGCAATGACGACAGGGGAAAAATCACCATGTAAATAAGATTCTGAATGCAGTCCACAACACAACCAACAGAAAATCTCAACTGGACTTAAAAACTGGACTGTTTTTAAGTGTTTGAACACTTAAAAAACAAAAATAACAAAAAAAAAGACACAGTATAAATGGCTTCCAATGCTAACTGATGAAGTGTCCCATTGCAGCAAGTAAAAAACCTATGCAGAGCAAGTAAGGAGTCCTTACCAGACATTCCAATAAGCGAGCAGGACGAGCAATAACTATCAGGATCTTTCGAACCAGTTGCTTAATAAATGCCAGTTCTCCACTCTCTGATCGCTCTTGAGCCTAAAAGATGAAAAGAAAGGGATAATTATTCACAAGCCAAGTAAGAAAAGTGGGATCGTGGGAAATTTGGGACACCTTTTGCAGGTTTTGAAGCATGCACTTCAAACAGCAACTCATTTTCAAAATGCCTGCTGAAATAACAAGGATTTGAGCAAAGCAGCAACATTATCATTTCAGACTAAAGTCATTCCTTATGTACAATTCTAACAGGAAAATAACAAAGGTTACTATAATTTCAAATGGAAAATTCCTCTTAGAATTTCAAATTTCAAGTATCTCCAAGTCGTAACTTAGTATTACCTATTTGGGATAAGAAGCAGTGTAATTTGAATACTCCCTCCCACATACACACAGACTCTGCAATAGGTATTAGAAGAACCTTAATCAAGCACAAGCATATTTATTCCATACGCTATATCCAAAGAGAACTCTCTTGTATACAAAACACCTGCCTGTTTTAATCACAGGCAAAATTTAAAGCAACTTCATATGGTTTTGTAAACATTTCAGTGGGTGCATGAGCAGAAAACAGAACACATGTTAAAGGAGCATGAAGCAATAAAGCTTTCAGATCCCCTTGACCTTAGAATTAAACAAAAATGTGAGCTGAACAGAACTGCTCAGGCCTCAGGGGAGTTACATAAGGCAGCCACAGCGCGCCCAGCAGCGGTAGGAGATGCAGCTCTCTGCACAATGTCACAGCTGGGAACTGGTAGCAACTGTATCACAAAAATCCCAGACAGCCCAGTCCCTCTAACTGAGTTGTGCAAAGAACAAGTTCTCTTATATCATGTTAGCTATTGACCGATATTCACAAGCCACTTTGAAAAAATTAAGGAATTTCATTGTTACAAAGCACAAAACTTGTATATCATATAAAAATTGTATTACATAACATGATGGGAATGATGTGCTTTGATTGATGCACTGTTGCACACAGCTTGGAAAATAACTCACTAAGCATTTCTTAACTGATCAAGCCAACCTACACTCTAAGCTCTGCTTACTGCACTGCCATTTTAAACGCATATAATACATTTTTGCTAATACCACCCAGAGAATCTTAATTTTCAAAACATGTTTCTTTATGATGCTGGTACAACAGAATTCAGGCAGCTATCTCCTGTGTGTATCCTGGCCAACTATGCCTGCATTTTGGCATCATAGAAATGAGTGTTTCACAAAAGGGTCACTAGTTCAGATTTCTTTTTGATTAGGTAGGAAAGTGCCATGAATCTTTCCTACTTGAAAAACAGAGTTTCAATAATCCAGAAATACTTCATTGATGTGTCAATTTTGGAACTGCTTTATGAAGGGGAAAAGTTCAAAATTTTGAATTTGTAGCTATTTGCTAAATAGAAGTCAACAAAAAGGAGAAGACAGAAAGAATCAAGCAAAACCTTTAGAAATTGCTCCTGCATTTCAAAGAAAGCAGAAGAAAAGACTTAAATTAAGATAGGCAGAAGAGTTTAACATCTCACTTGGCAAATTTCAAGTCAATATCAAATCTGCAGCTCTGGCACAAACTCTGGGTCATGCTGCACTGTCAATCACTGTGCACGAATCCCACACAAACAGATCACCTAACATAATCCTTCTTTTAAAGGACTTATTACGTATTTGCAAGTTACAACGACTTATGCCACAGTACATTCCCTCAGTTAAGTTCCAAGTTTTTCTTATCCATTCAGCTAATTTAAGGATTTTTTAAAGATACTTCTAAGTTCTTTTTTTTTTTTTTTTTTTTTGCTAGTAAGCTAATTAACTATGAAAGAAATATTAATAATATTTTAAAGAATTAAATAGCCTTTAGCTGATGGAAAGCTAAGGGTTGCTATGTGCTATCTCAACACAGTAGGCAATTAGTAGGGTTGTTAAAGTGAAAAAAGTGTGTGTTTCCGAATTTATCCCTAGCAAACAGAACTGTGAGTCTTCTCATTTAAGGCTTATGCGCACACTTCTCTAAGCAATTTATAACTTACAATGCGTAACATAATGCTGTTGTTCCTGAAATCTTTATAACCCATCTATCCCAGAGTAGTTCGCTAGGATACCTTATAGTCCTTGCAGTCCTGGTCATTATGCAGACTAAAATGACTATGAATAACACTTTGACAATTGTTTGAGTGCAACAGTCATGATTATTTCAAGGCAACAACTCTTAAGCAAACAGATTTAAATATTTTTTTTTCAACCAAAGATAAGAGTAATCTCACGGCTCATACCTCCTGGAGTAATTTGTCTAATTTCTGCTGTAATTCAAGGAAGTATCGTGACGTGATGAGGCCCTGGTGGGATTTATCCAAGCAGTCTCGAGCCAGTTCTATGATCTGATGGTGGGTAAAACTGAGCACTCCGTCTGCCAGGGGAAGGACGTTATCTGGAGAATGGTTTGTTATGATATCCTGAAGTCGTTCTTCCATCTGAGCTGTGGCCTACATACAAGGACACACATAATACAAAAAAATAAATCAACCTTTCCTGCAATTGTAACATCAAAGCGTACTGCTCATTTTACCACATTTCTGTGGGACCTAAGAAGATATTTTGGCACACTACACGAAATGGCAAGAGCAAAAAAAGAGAAAAATTAAAAAGAAAAAAATAAAGTGGAGCAAAATGTCAGATGGTATTTCTCCACATTACTGGTGCAAGAAAAGCAACAGCTAAGCACATCTTCCCTGATGTCTGCCACTCGGGACAGACGGCGCAACAGCCTCACGATCATCACAAAGCAGAGCTGGAGTAATGCCCGTGACAGGAAACCCTTAATTTCAAGTCAAAACAATAAAAAGGAAAACTTACAGAGGTCTCCTCTGTTTTGCTAAAACTGTAGGTATTACTAACCAGAGCATCCTCCTTCCTTTCAAATGGGTTTAACCTTGAAACTACTTCCCTGGGCAGGGTGTGAAAGAATATTAACCAATAAAAATGTAGACTCACAGATCCTGCAATACATGCACACAGGTTACTAGAAGTGTCTGCTTTACAGAACCAAATGTCTATTTCTCATAGAATTGCAGGTACTTACTGAAGACATTCCAATATTTTTCTCATTAAACAGTAACCTAACGCCTCCTCATATCTTGTTTGTATCTCATCCACTGAAACAAGTCTGTCATTTCACACTTCAGATTATTGCTCAGCCAGTATGTAAATCCACACAAACATCTCTTCATATTTCATGTCTTCTTTTTCCAACTGTATCAGCTTTTTTTTTTTTTTTTTTTTTTTTTTTTTTTTTTTTTTTTTTAATTAGGAAACATCAAACTTCTAGCAGCAAGAGAGATGTGCTCCTGGCAACACGCCTGCAAGTTGGAATTCATCTGTGCATCAGATCTCTGGACTTGACAACAACCTTTTCTTGCTTGGTATCTTATAGTGAAACCCTCATAACCCTCTACTGATCTTCACTATTAAAACAAGTAAATAGAGAATATTAAAGAAATAGAAGACTGACCACTGAAGAAAGGAATTTGAAGGTTTTTCAGTTAATGCTGCACAATACTGAGCAACAGAAATGCACTCTAATCTAATGTATACTTACTGCAACTATACACCATCAATTGAAACCAAATGTATCACAGCTTTCCAAACACCGTAATATATCACTGCTGTGATTCATTTCAAAACCAGTTCAGCTGCTTTCTCAACTGAATGTCCAGTTCTCAGCAGGGTTTTTCTTCATTGTGACAATAAGACCCTGGTAATGCTTTATAAAAGCCATTACAGGCTTGGATCATTAGTTCCCATAACAAAAACACCACTTTCTTAAAGCCTATGCTGCCTACTAGTTTAGATAAAGGGTACCTTAAATATAGTTCATTACCTTTGGGAACCTTTCTTTGTAGACATGGTTCATCATTATTATTTCATTGTCACAGCAGGCAGGAGAACGTCCAGGGCTGCAAACAAAGCAAATTATCCCTTTTTAACTTGTTCCACCAGAATCAGAGTCTTTCATATTTCCATACCATTTATTTGCACCAAAAGGTGGCATAGGCTTCACTGGAAAGTTACATTTTTCAACCAACTGCATGTTCAAGCAATCCTTTTCTACTGTTTTTGACCAGGCAATTAAGATTATTTCATGTGCTGGACCTCTAATTGTCTACATTCTCTTACCTTATAACTTCACCCCAGGATACTGGCAGTTTTGCACATTTGTGACATTACCTTTTCCTCTAAGGGGACATGAAGATACATATAACTTGTGAAAGCAATTACATATATATTCATCCATTTGAATGCAATACAATCAAAACAGGATAACCTGACCAAAATGCAAACTACGAGTTAGAAGTGTTGAGAAGAATTCAAAATTCTTGTTCTATTATTCATATTTTTAAAAAATGGCTAAAAAATTGAAAACGACATAATCTGCTTCCAATGTGACTGGCAAATAAAAGCAGCAACTTCCTACAAACAGAACAACACACACACACACACACACACACACACACACACACACACACACACACACAGAGGTTCCATCAATACCAGGAGCACTGTGCCTGAAAAAAAGCACAAGAGTTGCAGGAAAACAACTCACAAAAGCTACCCATCGCATTGCCTAATACAGGCAGTTATCACCTCTTTTAAAAAGCTCCATCTCATCTTTGCTGATATTCAGCCTGGTCTAAAAAGCACAGAGGAGAACCACAGAACAGCTGAGGTCAGAAGGGACCTCTGGAGATCATCTAGGCCAAACCTCTGCTCAAGCAGGGTCACCAAGAGCACAGGATCGTGTCCAAGTAGGCTCTGGATACCTCCAGGGAAGGAGACTCCACAACCTCTCCGGGCAAGCTGTTCCATAGAATACCACCGGCTTTCTCTGCCACAAGGCAAACCATTTGGTTTGAACTCTGGAAGCAGATGAGAGCTACAGCCAGGTCAGCAATGACTAGCTCAACAAGACACCTCACATGGATGGAGGTTATTAGATCCCTCCTTAAACCCACACCATATAATACTAACCACTGAAATAAATAAACAATGACCAAAATAACAATTTAAGTATTATTAAGCAATGATTTAAGAGGATTATTGTTCAGCCTCAGCTTCTTTACTTCTTGTATTAGATTACAGCAATTTTGAGAACAGCAATAATTGGTGAAGAGCCCCAATGTACAAAATTAGGAGGCATGAGAAGCACATAAATTTAGGCTCAACCACTATTTCCAGACAGGCAACTCACCTGAGGCTTCTGGACCGAGGACGCAGTGGAGTGGTCCTGCATCTGCTGTCACTGGCGATGCTTTCAGTGGTACAGAAATGTTTAGATAAAAAATGTAGTTCATCTGGCGTTGGCTGGTATGGTAACTGGTGTAGCTTCTCTTGAGAGGAACAGGATGACTGCAAGAACAGAGAAGATCAGAAGTTTCAAGAAATTGTTCACTGCTCATGAGCAAAGCCACTTCATTTATAAAGTATAACTTACTGTCCTGCTTGACCATCAGTTTGAAGTACACAATTAGTCTTGACTAATAATAAAACTACCTTTCTTATCTGGCTTCTCATAAAGGGCACCAAGCCCCCTGCCTGGCTGCTCTTTTATTGGCAGCAGCACAACAGCAGCTTCCTCAGAGCTGCATCCCAAGTGAGGGAAATCAATACGCTCCGATACTCCATGGCTCTTGCCCTACACTGCTAAGATCAGCAGGTAATATCCAGCCTGTCAAGACAGAACTAGGCAGTCTTCATAATTTCCTAGTCACTAATGTGTTAAAAAATGAACCCACTCAGAATACTGGGAAGAAAATATAATTATGACCCTAGACCTTGTGAAGTCTTGCTTTAAAATAAAAAAAGTAGAAAAAAAAAACCACTGGGAAATGTTAACTCTCACAGGACTGGGCTGCAGGGGAAAGTTACACGACATTTGAGCAAGTTCAAGTTAGTAAGGCTGCAGTATCTTGCCTTGCTGCAAGTGAAGCAGCACATATACCAGGGATTTACTGCAGTATGTTTGATATACAGTAACTTGTCAAGCCACAGTAATTTACTTAGGAGTTTCAGTCTCAGCACAATATTATGCCTATTTTGGCACACACATAAATAAATTCTTTCTTACCTGCCACTACAGCAGCTAGATGCAGTTAACCTTACGGCCTATGTCCTAAAGCCACACTCAACAAGTCAAAAGACATTCGTACCAACATAAGAACATAACTTTTGTTCCAACATAACTACCCAGTAGAGACCATCCCATAGGCCTATTTCTGTAAAAACCCATTTCTATCTCTTAGACTGCAAGGGATTCTGAGAGGTAGAGAGGACAATACCCTACATCATGTTTTGCCTTGTATAAGTTGTCAGAGAAGGCAGATGTAACAGGATTAAAGAGAAAAAAATGTTTCTTTCACTAAGGTTGCCCAGTTGCCTCAAGGCCATCACAGGCACAGACCACGTTTTCTTGAATGTTTGAACTCAGACCTCTTCTTTAGCTCTCATAACATTCATGAATAGCAGGTCCTTCAAATATTACTTAAAATTTAGCATATATTTAAGATACTTAACCTCAGTGCATCATAAAAAGGCAGCTTGCTCAGACAACAGGACAAACACAGAGCCAGTATCACCTAAAGCAGCCCCAAATATGAGAGTTCAACAAGCAATCTAGTCAATCTAGATTGCTTAAATCCCAATCCAGTTTGGAAACAACATAAAACTATTCCATGGCCCAGTGTACCCGCAACAATTGGTAAAACTAAGTGGCTGCCAAGAAATAAATGTAAGTTTATTTGCCACTTTAAAGTGGCAGACAGCAAAGGAAAAACTCTATGCCCATAGTTTGGAAATTAAAATCGTGTTCTGCTATGTTTCCAACACACAGCTTTTCATTTCCATTCCAGCAAAGTCTGTTTCTTACAACAGGGATGGGGTTGCTATAGCAATTACTTATTTTCTAACATAACCTCTTTTATGTCAATATATTTCAAGTGAAGAGCATCATATATTTGATCGAGTTCCAATGAGAGATGTCTACACAGGCACTGCAGGGACTAGCTACGGAATTAATGTGAAATCAAGCAATTTGCTTGGCAAAAGCAAGTTCTAACCAAGAAGGAAAGCAGAGGTCAAAAATCAGCATTGTCGAGCAAGTTGTTAACAAAATCCCACAACTTGAAGCCAGTAAGACAAAGAATAGGCTAAAAGAAACCTTTGTGGACAAAAAATGAGAGCTGATCATAATATAAGTCAGTCCAGTTTTATCAATGTACAGGATGTGGAGCTCATCATCTTAACAAGAAATATAGAACATATCCAAGGAAAGAAAAGGCTTACTTAAATTGTAAAAGCAGCACTTAAAAAAAATCACATAAAACGTCTCCAAAATATTACATGCATAAAGCAGTACTTTTGCTAAAGATTTTGCAAGCCTACAGGTACAAAATAAAGCTGAAAAACAAAACTAGTAATTTTTGAAGAGTCTAGTTGGATCTACAATGACAAAGTCCCCTGCTGCAGCAATACAGTGCCAAAACGCCCATGATTTGCCATTTCTGAGGCAGTTTCACGCCCAGCTGCACCTCCAGCCTCTCTGGTGCGGCTGTCACAGGGAGTGCCCAGCCTCGGACTGCACCATGACCCAAAGAGGGCCCCGCCAGCAGCGCTGTGTGATGTGCAGGAGCACAGAGTCACACTTCTCTGGCTGCCTAGCTACTTACATCTTGCTCAGCAATGCTGATTTTGCTACAAGGCAGACAAGCTGAATGGCACCTCCTGCCATCGTGCATTTCACAAGGAAGATGGTGCCTGTACAGGTGGAGACAGGCAGCAGGGCAGTCCAAAAAGAGATCAGTTTTAACACAAAATTATTGATCTAACTAGAGAGAGGGGAAAAAAAATAGATTTATCCTATTGTGTAACTTCCTATGGGATTCACCTTTTCTAATTAGAGCTTTCCAAAACCCTAATACCTCAACCAACTCATTCAGTATTACGTGCTAACATCTAATCACTGTCAGAGTAAAGAGACTGCGAATGACTGATTCATCCCTCTTAAGATAAGAGTCTAAGGTAGGACAGATGAGTCATGTTGTGATGAGGTGCTCTTTTTCCTTTCATTATCAAGGGAGCCTCATTTAGACTGGATGCCTAACTAGTAGACTGTTAGGTAAAAATAATAAGGCAGTATGACTTCCCTCATAACGATGGACACATCAAAAGGGGGCAGTTTAATACTATTTCTGTTCCAGAAAGACAGATCTCTAGGCAAAACATATGTTCTCTTATGTTCCTCTCTGCCTCCAGAATTGTAAAAGTTACGTTTTCCAAGTTGATTCCAAGCACTGTTGAATCCATCAATGGTAAACAATCTTGCTTTATCTTCTGCATGAAGCAAGCTACGTTCAAGAAGATACAGTATACAGCACAAATCTATCTGCACAGCACCAAAGCAGGTACTTACAGACACAGTTGAGCTGGGTGTATTTGTACCATAGCCAGAAGAAGGGAGCGAAGCCAGAGACCAGCGGCGACCATCAGTCCTGTTGTGAAAGTGAAGTTAGCAAATGCAGTAACCTTGCACAGAAACCATCTGGGAAAGCATTATTGTGTAAAACTGCATTCCAGAAGCAGGATACAAGCAGGGTTTTTAATAGAGAGTAAACTTTCACAGGGGATCACAATCAACAAACATTAGGCAAGCATGACTTGGGCTTTGGGATTTTCAGGGCGCATTCTGTTCTTCCAGTTAAAATCTATGAGGTGAAACAACCAGAAAGCAAATGAACAGACCAGCAGCACTTATCTCTCACAAATAGGCATTAAAAACGGACACAGGAAGTCTTCACAACTCTGCGGCCCATTAGATGCAAGTTAATGAGAAGCAAACTCAAAACTTGGGAGCAAACACAATCCCCGGGGCTCTGAACCACAGAACAGCCACTGCAGTCTGCTTGGGACACGAGGGTAAGTCTCTACAGCGTGACACCAGGACAGGACACCAGCAAAGCAGCAAGCTGATAATCACGTAACTGCGATGGCTACAGTAGAACTTCAACTTGCTAAAGATGCATGTAGATCAAGAAAATAAATATATATTTTTTTCTGCTAAAATCATGCTTTCTTAGGATAAAAAAAATTCTAGCCAAACACAATTTTTATTTCTCATAACTTCAAGTGATCTACACACAGACAACATGGCATTTAAAAATTCAAACAGACAAACTAGAAAGCAAGTCTGGGATTGGTATTTGGATTTTTGAGGAGGTAATGTTTACCTGTCATTTCGGTGCCCATGACTGGAGTACAATTGTACCAAATATGTTAAAGAGAAAAGGCAAAATAATACACATGTAAATAACGAAATTAGATTTGTTTTTTTGTAATATAATAATGCGGGAAAAGATAGGAGAATTCTAGCTCTGTTTCACAGTCAGTACAAAACTCAAATCTCAAGTCTGATCTAGCTCAAGAAACACAGTTCAATTGAAGAGAACTAAAGCAGTGCCAAATCAGGAGCCCAGACTTTTTGATTCAACTTCTCTACCCTTTAAGTTAACAAAAGAAAGTCTGCATCTGCCTGTTCTAAGGCCTTTTCACTTTCATTTATCCATGTTTCAACTCAGCCCTGTGGGCCTTTGAAGAAATAAAGCCTGAGAAAAAAGGGCAAGAACTGTATCTGAATTTTCTCTATGACATAACACAATGCTGCTGTACATTAAAAGGGCCATGCTGAATAAAATAAAAAGAGCATGTGGAGGAGGGTCTGCTGACTGAACTCTCAAAGAACCTCTCTCTATATATATTTATATGTGTGTGTATATAGATATATCTTGTTTTATTCATTACTTCTCCTTCCTTGCTCTGCTTCCCCACGTATGAATAACCATCCTCCTGATGCATGAAAAAATTCAAAACATATTTTTCTCCTTTTGCTCAGCTGCACAATCTAATTTTGTTCACAGTTGATAGAAAAAAACAACTTGGCAGGTATTTAAATATATCTGAGACCTGTATATTCTGCAGCTATGAGACTTCCTCACTAAATGCTTTAGACTGAACAGGGTGTTCCTGCACCAACACAGCAATTCCCAACGAGAAGGGTCATCGGAGATGGGAATGAGTTATCACCAAAAGCAGCTGGGAAGCAGAGGACAGAAAGTAACCCCTGAGCCTGCACCGCAGCTCCCTTCCACCACTGCTCACTTCCTGACGCTTTCTTACACCACCACTTTTCCTCCTTTTAAAGTATTTAGAACTTTCCATTTGGAACTTAGCAACACTGCAATGCCCTTCGAAAACTCTCAAAAGGGTCAAAGTCAAAATGAAACCCTGACGAATTCTTTTTTTTTCTTCTGAATTTTAAGGTTCACAGAAGCGTGAGGATTTCAGCTTTCTGTTCATTACTGATGGGACAGGAAAACTACTTCCCATCTGCTGTATTTCTAAATAATGTTCACAGTCTTTCACATCTGCTTTTTCCATTAAAAGCTATTTCAGGGCTTTACGAATCCGTACCAAAAATATGTTCATGAAGAAACATAATCTAAAAACATTATCTTTTCTTTTGGATAGATATTATCAAAGCAGAGTCTTTTCTATTTTTTTTTCTTAATAAGCTATAGATCTTAAAAAGGGACATGATATGCTCTCAGAAAGACTGATATAACTTATTATTGCAGATGAGATTGAATGGAATACAGGAGCAAAGCTTTCTTCCCTTTGCAGCTTTTAGAAAACAAAGCCATTTCCTTGCATCTACTTGTGACAGTGTGTGCCTACAGCCCAACAAAGCCCTGAAACAGAGGAAATGAAGCGACACCAGCAAGGGCTGTCTGAGAATGCAACAGCAGCATTCCCAGGAACGTTCAATAGCCACAAACAGTTGCAGCATTCCCATTTTGCCTATAGATTGAGTCAACACACAAAACCTACCCACTCTGCCGGGCTGGGAGCTAATGAACACATTATTCGAGGGAGGCTGACAAGGCATTAAGCGATACGGAACCACAGTGGCACCACTAAGCAGCCTCCCGTGACTTGCTATCAGCTTGCGCTATGGTTCGTTTAATAACAATAATTTACTTCATCTATCACTTCAAATTCACTTGCTACCTTGAAAAACTCCCGACATTAGTGAACCCTCAGAGTCCCCTGCAACAGGGCTGAGAGTTTCACGAGAAGAGGTGGCGACGCCGGCCAAGGGCAGCAGGGCCGGGGGGGCGGCTGCCGGGAGGCCCCCGCGCCACGGCCGCGCTCCGCACTCGCTGTGCCTGAAAAATCCTCCAAACTGCAATGGATGAGGAGATAAGCACTAATTTTGTAGCGTCTGAATCCAATTCATTGCAATTAAAAGTCTTTTTTTTTTTTTTTATTAGAAGGATATGATTGCATTGTACCCATCATCTAGCACAATTTTGCTGCAAGTGATGTTTACGAGAGTTTACGTAACAGCTAGAGTTACTCATTCTCCGTGACTGACTTCACAGACGCAGCTACTTATTAGCAGTCATCATTTCATACCCGGCTTCAACAGCATTTCCTCTATGCAAAATACAGGCTACCTGCTACAAATAAAAGTCTTACCTTCGTGCAAAAGAGAAGTGGGCTGAGGCACTGGGAGAGAAGTTTCTCGGGCTATCTTGAGGACTGTTTCCTGTTTTAGGGAAGTGGAAGACACAAATAAATATATGGAGTTTGTAAATATGCAAATAAACATAGATAAAAAAAAATACCGTTCGGATCTGCTCATCCTAGCTTAGAAATCCACTTTTGAATTGTTCTTCTTCAGGTCTCCAAGAAACTAAAACTCCGAAGTCAGATCTTATTCCAAACCACTTCTCACTTGTATTTGATTTTTAGCAATTAGATTCTACAATTTATTTTATAATTCTCTTTCCAAAGTAATAGAAGTTTACAAAACAGTATTTTAGCTTGGAAGAAATATTTTGAATTGTGGGAACACAGTTTTGTTGTTGTTGTTGTTTAACCACACGAATGTTTGGCAGTTATAAAATCCAGAACACAATCAGCAGAGTCCAGGCCTTACAGAAAGTGTCTATAACACCAATAGCTAGAACCAATAGCTAGCTTTGAGAATTACTACCTATTTATGAAAAGAAACGCCTGGTGCAATTTCTGAAAGACTGCATGCAGTCTCGATTTCTACTCACACTTTTAAATTAACATTGTGTATATCACAGCAATGTCCTGAACAGACCCTCATTTACTTGCAAAATCATAAAGTCATTTAGACAGCAAACATAAAACACACTTTTTTTTTTTTTTTTCCCTTTTTTGGAGGGGAAGAGGAAGGGGGAGCATTGGGGAGAAGACGCAGGTAAGTGTGAGAAGCAGATGCAAAATCCTGCCCCAAGAACCCACTTCATCTCTCCAAAGAGGCTTCCAAAGGTCTGAATGATTTCAAGGCAGCCAGGACTTTTGCTCCCTGAGGGGCTTGAGGGTAGGCTCCAAAGCTGTACACGTGGCACAGATTTCAGTCTTTATTTGGGGACCAGCACAATTTATTCTTGTCCTGCACGGACTGCAAATACCACATTACCAAGAACAATGCTTAGTTTCATTTAACAGCTAACTGGATTTCTTTTGTTGGCACAACACCTTATTTAATAAAGATAAGCTGAAAAATGGTAATGTTGTCCAGATAAAATATGGTTACATACTCTAACTACCGTACTGAAAAGAATGAGCTGTAATTGGGAATATGTCATGGATTTAGGTGAGAGAGAAGAAAAAAAAAAAAAACAAATGGCTACTTTAAAGTCTGGCAGAAGAGTAGGGAATTAAAGAAAAAAAGTTATGGACATAAACCAGGAATTAATGTGGCAAATGGACAGACGGCGTTGTATATGAACTCTTTTTTAACAACAGCTATTTAGAAGCTTTGTGTGGATATCAACAGCATATACAACTGTGCATTGGTTAGTTAACCAGAACACATGCTTAATCTTTACAGAGAAACAAAAACATAGGGAAAGAATTTTTTTAGCAACTATTACAGTGGATTCAACAGTGCAAGCTACTTTACTGTGAACAAAGATCACTTCATTACAGCCAAAACATGAAGCAAACTCTTATTCAGGAGAAGCATCAGATCCTATTAAAAGTGAAGATCAGTTTTCAACACTGTTTTTAAAAGAAAATAAGCTTTTAAAGCAACAAATTTGGAAAGGCTGTGTAATGAGGATTTGCCAATCCTGCAGGTTTGGTTTATGTGCATGTCCAAGTTGCAACTCGCACAAGCGTGGGAACCAAATGAAAAACCCACACTCTAAATGAGTGAGGAAGTAACTGCTGCTATTAGAGGTTTAAGGTGTGGTGTTCCAGAAAAGCCAGACAGGTTGGAAGCAGAGCCCTGTACGTGACCTTCGTCCATCACGGCACTCAGCCTCTCACCTGCAGTCAACACCCGAGAGACTTCCAGAGGGAAAACCAGTGCCAGGTCATTCCCTGCCCATATGTGCAGTGCTTGCTTAGTGCTCAAATCCTGCTGTTCTTTGGGAGCCTCTGCCCATTGCTTTAGTGCCTGGCTATCTCGAGGCTGCTGGGATCACTGCTGGTGTTTCAGTACCTGCCTGGTGGCAATAATCAGCTCCATCCTCCTTGGGATGCGCAGTGCACAGACCATGGACATGCCTTTCCCCAGCAGCAACACAAGGGGCCTCGCTTTGCAAGCTGCAAGTGTTGGGAAAACTGCAGCCGGGCTAACGAAGCCCTGGGACTGTTGGGCAATTAGCTTCAAGAAGCCCTGTGTCTCTGCCACAGGGAGGGGGGAAACGCATTAAGTCTTTTAAAAGGCAGATGTTACTTTTGTCATATACTATTAATGCATTTTAATAGCCATCTACTTACAAAATAAAGGGTTTCTGCTGCAAAGCCTTCCTGATAGTACCGAGGGAGTAAGAAATTAATGATAATTGCTCTCCCAAACTCCCAAGGGATGCAAGTCAGCTCCAGCTTGAAGGTTTGGTGTCATTAACGGATGGTCTTTGCACATGCATCGCAGCGCATCAACCCCAGAGCAGTACAACAAATCCACAGGACACATTCCTCCGTGCAGGGCTCGTCCGCAGGAGGCAGAGCCGGGCAGCGGGAGCATCTCTCACAGCCCCAGCGGTGCCTTCCACGAGGTCTGCGCGCACGTGCAAGCTCGAGCTATTCCCAAAGCTCCATTACGTTTCACACTGGAAAATGACTTTCCCTGCTCAGAGCAGGGAACGCTTGCAGGCTCCTTAAGCCTGATTGCCAGGTCTCCTCCATCCAGACCTCCTGCTAAATGACTTTGTTCCTGTTGGCAGCTGGCTTGTTTTAAGGAAATCTCTTACTCCCTCCTGGATGGCACTGAGCCCCGGCCTGCTCAGTAGCGCTCACTTCTAGGGAACATTAATATTAGCTAGACACGAAGGGGTAGGAGACCTTCGGCACAATTCTGTCTCCGTGGCTGTGCTATCCTCATTTCTCCAAACTGGAATTAACTGTCAGCCTCTGTCCAGAGAAATCTGAAATTTCCCCCTAAAAGACATGGCGCAGTAACCAAGCTTCAATGTACCAGCACACAGCAACAAGAGGACACTAGACACAGATACATACAGGGAACAGGCATACCAGGAACACTGGCATCTTCTGAGCACTGCTTAAAGAAATGAAACTCTGGCAATATTCTATTTTGATCATATTATTTAAAAGCCAGTGAAACCGGATGCAATTTGCTATTTGCTTTGCTCTACACATTATTCCCCAAGTCCTAGGTCCTCCAAAATAGACTAATTTCACTTTATCCAAGGGTTAGACTGAATAAAAAGTCCAATTTCAGCAAAACAGTTTCTCTTATTCTACAGGCACCAGCAGTCAGAGAAGTTGAAATATTGTATTACTGTCTTTTCTTAAGCGTAAGTTTTCTTTTAATAGCAGATTCAGAGCCCTACCTTAGCTCTGGCTTTTAGCACACCCCTGTATTTCACCATGAGCAAAGTTCAATCTTTTACTGTTCTTCCAGCATGGGCATGCTAGATAGATCAATTTTACTATGGAACAATTTTTTTAGTCGTAATAGAGCAGTCTATCCTCAAAGCAGAAGTCAGTAGCATGTTTGCAAAGAGGACTGCAGAATGCAGGAGGACCTCTCTGGCCATGAAATTTTGCTTCAGGCAAATTCACGTAATCCCATTCATAAATTTACCGACTCCAAGAGACTGGCCAGGAACAGGTTGGTAGCCACTGCCATACTTACTGCCAGATCCTTCAGGAATCCTCACATTCAGCGAGTTAGAACTAGTTAGACTTTTTTTTTCCTTTTTTTAAGTATATATAACCAGTGTGCACTTTCACTCCCTGCAGAAAATCTCTGGTTGATTTACAGCACAGCACAAGCTTTTCAGGCTCCCTCTGTCAGGCCAAACAAGCCTTCATCTTTTAGTCTTCTAGGAGAAGCTCTTGCATTCTGTTCTATCAGCTTTTCTGCACATGTGATCCCACCTGGACATGTATAACTGAAGTAGCAGGCAGTATCGCAGATGAAAACTGAGACATTATTCAGTGCCTGAAATCTCCCCAGACTCAGAATAGCTTTCCTCATGGGAAAGGAGGATTTGATTTTGATGGCTATACAATATTAGTTCTTGCAAGCATCATTTGATGCAAAATTCAGTCAGATCCTTCCCTAAGTTTCTTCTAACAGACAAGTCCAGAGCTGACAGTTGCTATCAGGACCCAGTTAAAATTTTGCATCTTGCTATGTCATCTCACGCTTTTAAAACTCAATACACAGAATCAATCACCTCAACCCAATTTTCTAATGCTACTCCATATTGGATGCCTTCCAGTTTTGACATAAAATTACTCTAGCTGATGCACATCACTTATGAAAAGATTGAATAGGTTTGGACACAAGAAGCACAAACTGACTTTGGACTTTTTTTCAGCACCAACTTCTGTCTTCTTCTGTTTAACAGGTATATTTACCTAGCCTGCAATTCTTGTCCTAGAACTTGTTCTTAGCAACAACATATGGTATACCAAGAAACACTTAATGAGGATATACAGACCAGGAAGATGAACGGCGTTTTTCCCAACAGTTAGGCGTTGTTCCCACAGCAGCCGCAGAGAGCAGCACCACAGGGGCCTGGGAATCATCAGGGTTCCTATCCCGCTGGGAAGAAGCTCCAGTGCCTGCGCAGGTGGGGACACCCAGCAGCCACAGGCCTTGGCCCCAGATGCTCTTGGAGGTGACGCTGCCGCCCTTCACCCCCCATGTCCCCCGCACCCGCTGCCCCTCCAGGAGCCCTCAGCAGGCTGGGCAGCGGCCAGTCCCCGTGCTCAACAGTGTTCAACTCAAGGCAGTTACACAAAACAATAAAGGTCTGAAACCAAAGAAATGACCCTGATATACACATTTGTTCTCTGTCTTCACATAGAAGAGAAAGGTTTTAAAAGCCAAGATTATTCTTGAAGTTTTTAATGGCTTTTACAGCATGCATAAGGCGTAACAGGAGACACTGGCTGCAAGCTAAAAGCTGGTCTTCCATCAAAATGTATTATCTCTGCAGTCAGTTTCAAGTCCTGCACAGATGAAAAGGGCATTATTAAATTTACTGTCTTAGCATTTAATGCATGAGACAGATATATTTGCTGCATATATTATCTTCTGCCAGGCTCACGTCCCTTAAACTTCCTCACAATCCCTCAAACTTCAGACTACTTCGTGATAACTTTTTATTTCAGCCCGTGAGGAGCCTTCACTGACTGCGAGGGCAAATGAATCTGTCTCTGCTTTCACTGCTGCTGCTCGTGGAGTATTGAAGCCTGCACGATGCATTTGCTCCACTGTGTGCACATCTCCCACTTGCTCTCTCCCCATTCTAACACAGCAACATTAGAATGGCTGAAACAGTAAGGACATTAATGAACACAAACTTCCTCCTAACTATCTGAAAAAAACCAGTGTTTGTCTAATTGAGCTAGTGTCAGTAAAAGCTAAAATAAATTCCTTTGCAGGAGCAATCTTGCACTGTGTTCAGAGCAAGTAACAGAAAAGGAGGAGAGGAGATCCCAGGTGGACACTCACAAACTGGAACCAAACAGAAAAATCGGCACAAAGGAACTCTAGCACGGACAAGCAGTTCTTAGCAGCAGCTTTCTTAATAAAGTTCACTGTGATATCTATCTGTTTGGCTTTCTTTTTTGTACTGGGCAGTTAGAACCACCCTAAGTTGGGGCCACTGGTCCTCCCCCAACATTCTCTCCTCTATCCACACTGGAGGGTCCACTGTGCCTTTAGCACAACCGTGAGAAAAGAGGAGTAGAAGGAAGCGTGTGGGTGGTGAGCAGCCCTGAACATCGAAGAATCTTGATTCTGCTCAAGCAAGTTCCTCCTGTGCAGAGCGGAGCCACACTGCTCCCATCCCAGCTCTGTTTTGGATGATGCCAGCCACAACCCATGTTGCTGTGATTATCTAGGAGCAAGCTGATGAATTCTTCAGCAGGTCTGAGGTGACGGCACATTATTTCCAAAGGTGCAATCTGACCTCTAAATCACTACTCTAGATATCAAAGATAAAAATATTCTTGGGCGAAGCCACAGAGATTGGCAGGAGTGCTGATGCAGAGTGCTCTGACTAATAGAGCTCCACCTTGGTAGGTTCCTAACAGGCCTTCACACACCTTGTTTGACACAGAGGATGTGCACAGCATTTCCTCTGCCTTTATGGACATGACGTCTTGGGTAGGGGGGCAAGAAAAAGGCAAGTGGCTTTAACTGTACTTCAGAAAAATCTTTTCTACAGTAGGGTCTCTTCAATGCACAGCACCACTGGGACAGATTTCCCAAATATGTATGCAGTTATGGCACTTCAACTGAGGACAGCTCAATGAGTAAACTTTTGTCTAGGGAATGCCAGTGCTCATCTCTTCTCCTTAATATTTAACTTGCTCATCTTCCCCTTGGCCTGGAAACTACGTCTTCCCCCCGCCCCCCTCTCTCTTTCCTCCTCTAAGTGCAATCACTAATAAGAAAGATGTGAAGATGTTAAAGATGTCTGTCCCTGCTTACAGGAAAAAATCCTTTAGAGACTGCAAAGAAACAGTGCTCTGATTTAGGCAACTTTTACAAAAGAATCTTCCTATGCTCAACTAATTTGCAGAGGTAATCCAAAAAATCCTCCTAATAAATCAGCTGGACAGCAGACATACCAAGTTCTCTCAGTGGAGAGAAGGAAGACCTGGAGTTATCCCTCCCAGTCAAGGAATTCCAGGAGAAATGAATCCAGCTGGCTACAGAAGGCATTGTCCCTTGCCAGGTCTCTCTGCTGTGCTTAGCTGCAAGGAGAGCAGGACGCAGAGCTGGACACCAGTGTAGGGAAGACCTGGTGGCTCTGGCATCGTGGTTAAAGACCCACAACCTCTCATAAACCCCTGTAGGTTACCAGGGATTTATGGGCATTGAACACTCATCCCAACTATTACAGTAGATGTAGGAGATGCAAGCTTGCACTAACGGGGTTCTCTGTGCTTTTACACAAAACATCTACATCTCTGTTTTAATTAGGGTCATATTTCCACTGGCCAAACTTTAGGGATTTATCTTGGCTGGCAAATCAACGGTAAAGAACAGTAAGAACAAGTATCTAATCAAGAACTTGTATCTAATCAACCACTAGAAAAAGAACTACCCCTTTCAAGGGTGAGTGCGAGCTTGCTCTAACTTCAAACTGTGCCTCTGAGTCCAGCCTAGGCACACTAGCCAGCTAAGCGATGACAGTGGGAATATAAATAACTGCATGCAGGGGAAAACTAATAACAGAGATGTACACACAGCATGTACTGCTCAGTTTAAGGAAAAGAGTAGCTACACCTGACCTGTCTGAATCCTTACACCATCCTTTTTGCACCTTCAAAGCAGCCTGTCAACAGCGCTATGACCTCAGCACTGCTACTCCCCTTGCAGGACACGAGGAACTGACTCCAAAGATGAAGCAACTTGCTGGAGGCTCCCGCGTCCCTGTCAAACAGGAATTCTTTGGCCTCTCTCAAGTTTACAGCTACTCTTTAGGCCCACGGGTCACTGGTGTTGCTCACTCGAGACTTCCAAGGGCTACTGGGCAGAGCTGACCCAAGCCATGAGTGCGCACAGATCATGATGCAGCCACTGAGGCTGAGAGGAGAACCACAATCCTTGTCTTGTAAGGCTGCTTCCGTGAGGAAGCTGCAGACACCTTTCAACTTCTTGAAAAATGCAGCTGAAATTCTACACCGTCTCTTCTCCATCTCTCTGAAAGCAGGATCCAAGAGCTGCAATGTATTCACTGCCATTGCCTACACATGTATTGATGATGCAGGGCTTTAATTCTGGCATGTAATTACAGTCAATGCCCAGGAAACAGAAGAGGAAATCTTTGATGAAATGTGTTTTGATACACTAAAAATGTTCCTTTTCAAAACGATCACAAACAACTCTATCAATAAACTCCCTTTTTTTGGGACAGACATTCAATCTCAAAATGCTCTTCAGACGGAACAAAATGATCAACAATTTATTGTAGCAGAAATCAAAGCGCAGAGGTTCCCAAGCAACTTGCCTAACATCAAACATCCTAGGGAACAAGAGCATTAGGAACAGAAGGTAGTGCTCTATTCCCTAGCCCTGTGCTACCACAAACTATTCTACATAGAGTTTTGCTGAGCCCAAAGAAGAAACTGAAATTGGACAGGGAGAGACAGGGGACAGAATCTGTCAGAACAAAGAGAGGTGGGGGGAAATTGCTGTGATCTGTTAGGTATTTCTATTTAGTTTGCTTCTCGCTATAACCTAGGGATTGTGGTTTGAATTGACCGGAGATTTGAACTTCACACAGCAGGGACATGAATATTCTTGCTCTAATCAACAATGGAAGCAAAAGAAGTGCAGGAAAAAATTCAATTATTTTCTTCTCCTCATATAGATGAGAAAATAGAAAAAAAAAAAAGGAAAAAAAGAGAAGAAAAACAAAAAGAAAAGCAGATAACATGGCTGTATGATAGATGAAAATGAATCACCTGTATGAGCCGAGAGAGGTGAATGAGGTCGAGGCAGGGCTGGAGACTGGCCATTGCCCATCAAACTCTTCCTGTTGCTTGTTCTACAGCTGTGGGGAAAAAAAAAAGATAGATAAAACGACATTAGCATCAGAAATAAGGCATGTACCACACATGGACATTTTCACTTGTGCCTACTTTGTTCCTTCACTTCCCAGCCTCATTTTAGAACACAGGGCTATTGTTTTAGCAGTGGCGCGTGTCCAAGAAGCCTAGAACCAACCTGGATAATGGCAAAAAGAGCAGCGTCCACAGCAAACACCAGAAGGAATATCCAGGTTTGCACAGTCACTGCTCTGTGCAGAGGCGAGCACACTCCCACAGAGTACACAGCGCCCTTCCTTGTCCACAGCTCATTTCTCTGCCACACACTTCCTTTTTTATAATATAAAAGAAAATACACGAGCATAATCTGAAAAAGCCTCAGTTTAGAATCAGCACTCAATTATTAAACTGATTTATGCTACATTAACTGCGGCTCCACATCGCATGCCATGAAAAGCAATCATTTATCAATGTGAGAATGATGCAATAATTATAAATTAATTATTGAGATAAATTTCACATCTGTGCCCTTGTCAGTGGAACAGATGATGCCCAAGATGATGGAAGTATTTTTTTGTTTATACATTTTTCACTATAAAGCTACTAATTTCCTGTATCACAAGATCATTAGGCAGTGTAAGTATTTAATTAATACAACTACTAAATTTAGGAAAGAGATTAGGAAAGATCCTTAAAAATATCTTGCCCTTTAAGTATCAGTTGACAGAAATGCTTTTCTCTTACAATTATAATCTATATTCTCATAAACACAACCCTCTCCACCATTGCAAAGATTCATATACCAATTAAATAAGATCTTCAAGTCAAAGATATTCTAACTTTTTAACACACAACCTTCAGTACACAGGTAAACTTTACAGAATTGCAATCAGAAATGGTCAGCAAAGCTTCAGAAAAACTCAAAACCACTAAAAAAGAAAAAATTCACATCCATTGTTTCATTGATAACAATACGCTCCAATAAATTCTGATTCAGATCAGAACTGAATGGTCTCTGAAGACCAGCTTGGTAACATAAGGTCCCTATATAAAAGCCAGGAAGCAAAGACTAGTCTTGACACTGTACAAGCTGAACAAAATGCAAAAGGTTCGGCGGGGTTTAAACAGCAAAAACAGATTAAATAAAACAGATTCTACTGTACACTGAAGTACTACTGAAAACAAGGAAACAGGGAAGAGAACAGCAAAACTACCTTTGGGGTATTAAAGCAGTATAAAGGATATTTGCAACTATATTAAAACAACAAAAAACGTCCAACTTTAGGGAGTTAATGTCGGGTCATTTGAATGAACTATATAATGACTCACTGTATCACTTTTTGATATAATCAGTTAAAGATTGGGTTAACTTCTCAATATACATTCATCATTACTATAATCTATGCACAAAGAGAAAGCAAGATACAAAAGATTCATATTCAAAGTACAGAGGAAGGAAAAGCCAAATAAAACTCATTTTTGTAAATGTGAAACATATATATATATACACACACGCACATACACACACATATGCATATATATTACGTTTTTAGCAATCTGTCTAGGTTAAGCTGAGGTTAGCAGAAGCATTTTTAGTGTGCTCAGCATCTGCTAGAGGATGCGGCAGATTGTGACTATCCACGAGCACTTGATGACTTCAGTACAGCCTCATCTATCAATTATTCTTTAATTCAGAAGCTGAGATTTTTCCGCTCTTGACAGAATTTCCCATATAAATGATTGCTTTGTATTCATTTTTGTACTCTAATTCAAATACCACAATCTTCACATGAAGGTGGTGCAGTATCTTTCACAGATCATGAGAAAAGGTTTTGATCTCCATTTGTCTTGGGTTTCCGTACTTTTCAGAATTATTTCTTAGGTCTATGACCGCATCATTTTCCTTATCAGCATCTTATGTAATACGGAGGGAGAACCACAGGTTTTCCCAACTACCACTTTAACATGATCTCTGTTATTTTCTCAGTTATGCTGGATGAAGTGTTTGTCTTTTATTATTCTCCAGTGAAATACCCTACGCTAAGTGGTTAAAAAGAAATATATAAAACATTTTCTAACAGTCTTATTGGTAAGGTAAGATGCAGGTTACTGCATCAAAGTGTAAATTCATCCTACAGCTCTTGCTGTAACTTTAGCTCTATTTCATGAAAATTCTGACATTGTGTTACCCATGCTGCAGCCTCTATGATAAACACACCTCTTTCCCCAGATTAATGCTGCTGCAGGAGGGACTCTTCAGGGGTACAAAAGTCTTCAGGGGACCTTGAAACACGATCCAAGTTGCCAGCACACCATAGATGGGAAGCAGGGCCTCACGACTGAGGTAGTGAAGGGCTCACTGAGTACTGAGCCACCCAACACCCACTCTCTGAACACAAAGGAGTCTCAAAAGCTACAGTCCTCCTGCGGACAAAATCACTTGTCCCACATCTCCGTGGACGTCAAGCCGCTCTTTCCTCAACCAGCTTCATAGAGCAGCTACTGTTGTCCTGTGTGACATGATAAACCAGGAGATAAGGGGCAGCCTGAAAGAAGGTCTGTGTGTGCAGGGAAGGCAGCGCCTGCGGCTCCGTCCCCGGGGAACACGAGCCCGGGCACTGGGCGCAGCCGCCCCTCCTGCGCGGCGCCCTCGGCCTCGCGTTGCAGCCCCATCGGGTTGCGCTCCGGCCGCGCGACTACGGGACACGGACCTGGAGCACAGGGCAGGGAAAGGGCAAGGAAAGCCGTTCCCAAGAGAAGAAATGGAGGGGGGCAGGAGCCCAAACAACCTAAAACAGTTTTCAGTCCTAATCAACAAAACTAATTAAACAGAACAGAATATAAACTTAGCAATTTTTGCCCTTTGTCCTCTTTTCTTTCCCAGGAAACTCTGGACTTCAGCCTATAACCAAAGTGTCCGTCTCGAGCCTCTATCTACCTGGAAGTATTGATTTTACCTTAGATCATACTTTTATGATACTTGCATTGCACCACACAAGTATGTTACCAAGACTACAATCACTAGGCCTGATCTGGCCTGATCTGGGAATCCAAACCAGAATTTTGCGCTGGGTTTCAAGCCCTGCAAGGCCCCGCTCTGCCTCTCCCCCTGCTCTGGCCGTCACCACCACTCCAGCCCACACACCTGGCCAGCTGCTCTGCTCCACAGGCAATGCCAATGTCCAAAGGGACGACCCAGTCACATGAAACGTCATTATGCGGATGCTTAAATAGTCACAATTCTTCTGAAAACAGGCAAAAGCCCTGCGGGCAGGGATGAAGGCAACAGCTGGATCAAAGCAGGAGATAAAAACACCGATATGGCCACTAAAGGCTGGCCCTGGGGAACGCTGCCGGGAGCGGGTGCGCGAGTCGCACGCACAGGACGGGCCGCACGAGCGGTGGCACCAAGGCAGGGCTGCACGGCAGCGAGGGGCGGCCTCCCCAGACCAGAGCTCCCATGTGAGCTAATCACTGGCAGGAAAGGGTCATGGCTTAAAAAGAAAAAAAATAAAAATAAAACACTAGGGAAAGAAGGATATCTCAACAGAGGTTACCACCTGACATTTCACGGGAGATCCGGCATCTGTCTTAATCATTTCTAATGATTTCATTTCAGCAGCCTTAATTATTAATATTTACACTGGTAATGAAGATGGATCGGGGCTGTAGGCTGCTGTGGCAGTTCGCACCTTTCATAGGGTACGCTGAGAACAGCACTGCTTTGTGACACGGCTCCTTAACTCTCCTATCAGCATGATGTCCTGACCGAGCAGAAGGTAAAGGTTAAAGGGGGACCCCTCCTAGCTTAAGAAAGATCACACCCCAAATCCTCCATGTGCCAATGTGAGCGTGGGGAGGGTGAGCATGCAGCACGCAGAGAGCCAAGCCTGACCACGCAGGCACAAGCCAGGCAAAGGCTCTCGGCGTGGAAAAGACGATGGTTACAGTTTCCCCGCTGTTAAAACTGCATAGCTGAAAGCTACGTCCAGAGGAACATCCCACCCTCAGCAAGCCATGAGAGGGGGGGTTTGTTTATACAGGACAGTTTAATTTCAGTTATATTTCAGTTATATTTAACTTGTTATGAAGCCGGCTAACCTATGACTCCTCACATTTATTATCTTCAAGGACAACAACCTTGCATAGCCAACAGCACACACTGCACTCACTGAACAAGCATTTTTTCCAAAGTATTTCAAGTACTATCTGGCAAAGCTGGGTACGAAACAATCAAATTTTAACACACACAATTAGGAATGTCACTGCTTTATAGTTTTCGTTTTGGTTTTCCAACCCTCTTGCTGCTTTCCACCTTGTTAAGCCTTTGGTACTAAAAAGCAGTTTGGTTAATACTTCTAAGCTCTCCAGAACATTTGCAAGTGCTGTGGGACATTATTTTGTATATATCGACGGAATATAATTTAATGATGGTTAATGGCACTTTAATTTGTCCATCACTTTCTGAAAGAAAGCAAAGACTGTTTCTCTGTGAATAGCACTGAATTAGGGCTCCGTGAGCAAAATCTACAAACTCCACTCAACGCTGTTTGCTGTTGCACTGTTCTCGCCCCAGGCTAAGAGCCACTGTAAAGAAGCAAAGAGTTACAATTTTATACAGCATTTCCTAATCCAAAAACTAAAGTAGATAAAAATTTGCAGAGTGCTACAATCATTTTGAAGAATGTCAAAAAAAAAAAAAAAAAAAAAGCATAGGGGGTCAGGATTAAACACAGTAATAGACACTCAGAATTTTTGCTTTGTACTTTACGGGCTTACAGAGTTGTATGCTCAAATCGAGTGAGTACCATGCAGCCTGCATGTGAAAATGCTTTCTGAAATTGAGTGTACTCCAAGTTACACAGACACATACAGCAAAACACTGTTTATTATAGAACTTGCTTACTGCAAAGAAGTGTCCGGTATCAGTCCTTCAAGAGATGAGGAAAAGCAGTCTTGGAATTCTACTGATATTAGAACTACTGTAATGCAAATATTCAGATTT